TTTTTTCTTGAAGGTATGTACTTTTTCAGCAGTGAACTGAACCAAAGTACTCTACTAATCCTGCCTTCTGACACTGGGAGGCTGCCTACTCACCACAAAGGAAAACAGAGCATTGATCCCTAAATTACTGCACAGAACATCACAGATTTACCTGCATCTGTCAGGAAGAGCAGGCTCTTACAGAAATTGCAACAAAGCTACTAAGTCCTGCTCATGAGCTGGCCTGTGGGAAAAGCAGCTTAGTTTCAATGCACCCACTGCTGTAGACACACAGGACGTCTGAGAATCAGCTGCCCCGCTTGCTTCAGTGGGTGCAGGTGCTGTCAGCTTGCAGCGCTGCTGCACCTGAGCTGCCAAGGACACACGTCATGCAGGAGCACACTAACAGAAACTAGCCCCAAATGACAGCGTTTCCTGAACTATTCTTTTAACTACAAACAGTGATGACGCTCTTTTCATTAATAAGATTCCACTGTAAGTTTGCTAAATGTGTGTGCTGGGACAAAACCCAAAATCCCATCTGAGAAATTGCATTTGTTCACTTCCCAGGGGGACTGTTCTGTGTCTCCATGACACAATGTTGGTAAAGCTAATAAAAAGGAGACGTGTATTAGATGTGACTAATGATAAAAGGGACTCAATTCCTAATTTTTTTTTTCTAAATCCTGCCCTCCTCTCCAACTATTAGTCTGCGGAAGGCTTGTGGTGTAAGAGTAAAGTAAGAAATGGGAAAGAATAAGGTAAGATGTATTGCCTGGAGTTTTTAGAGCTGTAACCTGTTATTTCAGACATCCAGCCCGGGACTGAAATTTCATCATGCTGTCAGTCAATTCACATATATTGGAAAAAAAGTTGGACCCTCTTCCCATAAGGCTACAATCCAAATGAAATGCAGTTTAGAATAAATCAAAAAACAGTGCCTGACTATATTTTGGTAACATCTAAACAAATAATTGTTTTGCACATATTTTCTTCATATTTATTTAGATCACTAGTAACCTACAGGACCAAGGAAACACAAAGCAAAGGAGATAACCCCTCACCACATAATTTCTATAATCTTAATACTGGGCTGCATAATAAAAAGGATTATTTTAATTTGTTAGCAGCATTTTTGGTTTGGTATTGAACGACATTCTAGATGGCAGAGATCTGCAGTCTTCTTGTTGGCAAGCAGCTGGAATCACAGCAATGATGCAATTTTTGTGTAGCTGTCAAACAAGGGACCCTCTCACTGTGTTAGCTGGATTCCTTCTTTGTTGTTATTGTTCTGATCCAATTAGTCACTGCTTTCAAGTTAAGGGATCCAACGGGCTGATTGGACTGAAAGAGATACAAGAATAACTGAAACCCAATCTGGTTGTACAAGAGGAAGAATAGAATTTATTTCTTTTTATGTGTAGTGCCTCAATAAGTCAACTTCATGCTTTAACTAAACCTTAATTGCTCCAAAACAACTGAAAACAATCAAAAGGGTCTGTTTTGATTCATCACATACCAGAAATGTGAGAGATGGAACGGAACTAATCCAAGAATCTGTCACTGTGAGTAAGCTCCCCATGGAGACTGTTTTAGCTGCCTTATACCACAAAACATGGAAAAGACATGTCTACAAACAACCAAGGCAGCTGCTATTTCCCCTTTGTTCAGCATTGGTGAGGCCACACTTGCAGTGCTGGATCCAGATCTGGGCTCCCCAGTAAAAGAGAGACGTGAACATACTGCAGAGTCCAGCGAAGGGCCACTAAGGTGCTAAAAGAGACTGGAGCATCTCTCCTCTGAGGAAAGGCTGAGAAAGCTGGGACTATCCAGCCTGGAGAAGAGTAGGCGAGGGAGAGAATCTCCTCAATGTATATAAATACCTGAAGGATCTAAAGAGGATGGCACAAGGCTCTTTTCAGTGGTACCTGGTGACAGGACCAGAGGCAGTGGGCACAAACTGAAACACAGGAGGTTCCCTCTGAATGTCAGGAAACGCTTTTTCACTGTGAGGGTGACCGAGTACTGGCACAGGTTGCCCAGGGAGGTTGTGGAGCTTCCCTCCTTGGAGATTTTAAAAGTCCTCCGGACAAGGAGAAAATTCACCGATTCAGGACTTACCATTTGGATGCTGGTTGTGGTGCAAGAGAAGGGATGTGGTACCATGGTTTGATGTAAGGCTACTTACACTGTGTTCAAATATCAAATGTGCCTTCAGAGACAAGGCTGGAGCATGGAAAAACAGGTTCTAAAATGCTGAGATGTATAATACAGAGGTGCCCTTGACCTTCCTGATAACAGAACTGCTGATGACACACCAGCAACGACAAAGCTGCTTGTGCCCAAAATAAAACAGCAGAAAATCCTTGCAAATGTATTCTAATGCCTCCAGGTCCTATCCACTTCCTTGCAGCTGGTACAGTTAGAAAAATACTGAGTTATGAAACATACTAAATTATGAAATATCATTGCCTACTTTGCTGAGTACTGGTATGCACATACATCTATGTTAACTAAAACCCAGTTTATCCTTCTCCTCTGTACTGGTTTATGGGTCTGTCCATCAATGAAAAAAACCTGAAATGTAAAAGAAAAGTACAGCAGAAGTGAACGTGTTTGTCCAGAGAAGATTCTCCTGCAGGGTATGTCTACACTCCCCAGTGCAGCAGAGGTCTGGGGGCTGCTGCCAGCGCAGGTAGCTCAGACATCAGACCCAGCACAGCCATGTTAAGGTACTGTATCGTGCAAGACATTTAGTCTGAACCAAGTAGCTGTACTGCTTCTTCTATCCAATCTAGCCTTTTGAACTGGCTTTGATGTCCACACGCTGCACTGCATTGGAACAAGGGAATAAAGTATGTGTTTTATTAAACCTCAAAATGAAACCATGTTTTTTTGTTACATGAACAATAACATTCTTTGATGTCTGAGTTAAGGAGTTGCCTGCTAAGGAAATGATTTGAAGCTATCAAACGACTGACCATGAGGATTAAGAGAATGCTTATCATGTCACATATTCAAGATTAATATATGTGTAGTGCTGCTTTTTTACTGTCATTTTGATAATAAATTTGGATTTGATCACTGCATTAAAAAAATCACACAGGGCTGGCACTGCAAACTCCTGAACCATGATTTATAACATGCTGGTAATTCTCAATTTCTGATGACATTACGTTAAGTAGTCTAAGCATACTGATCTTTGTATTTCAGAGAGCTGATATACCTCAACACTTTTGAGAATTTTGCCATTACCATCTCTCACCTCTTTTCTCCATAAGAACAATTAGATGAAGGTGGTAAAGAAGTAATGCTACTGCAGACTTTTGGAACAGCTGTGAATAGGTGCCTATTTCAATTCATGCTATATATTTACTGCAAATGGTAGTATTTACTGAAAAAAAGAAAATAGATACTCTTACAATTCCGGTGTGAAGGGTATGTGTTACATAGCAATAGTTTACCTTGTCTTCAATTTAGAAATAGTTTTGAATTAAATAGCACTTTTTCACAAAGAAAAAACCACAGCCTTCTCATTAGCTAGGCAGGGACATTCTGACTTGCCACACAGTTCAATTAATTGCCATCTGAAATTTATGTTTTAATTCCTAATAATTTTCTTCATCTATGCCCACAGTCTGCAACAAACATCAATAGAAGGTGGTCAATCAAAGCATTCCACACCCTTCTCATCTCCATTCTCTGCTTTTTCAGTCCACTATGCTCAGACAAGGATATATCACCATGCTACTCCCTTCTACAGTCAGCCCCTCAGTACCAAGCTTTAACTCTAGGTATTAAGACTATAAAGGAGTGAACCAGCTTTCCATCAGCTTGTGACTCTCAGTTGCTGGTTTTCCTTGCTCTGAGATTAGGGTTTGACAGTAATGTAGTAACACCCAGCAACACGCAATGCAAAACATTGTCTTTGTTTTTCACTTGGCTTGCTCACTGCCTCACTGTAGGGTTTTTCCCCCCATTTGATCATCTCTTTTCCTGCTCCACACTTCTACACTCTCTTCCAAACCTCAAAAGATTAAGAGTCCAGAGCTGAGCCTTAAAAGCAAGATATTCAAATGGATCTGATACCCAGCACCTGGCCTTAAATAAAAGGCAGACATTGTCTCAGATTTGAGAGAAGGCAGAAGTTATCTCAGAACCAAAGAGAAAGACATTGCTTCAGATAAGTTTGCACTCTTCAAACACTCTGTTCTTGTATTTAAGCTACATGAAGAAGGCAATTTTGGGCAAAAGCTAATGAACAAAATAAGAAAGAAAATAAAAGCTCATGATCAGGCTTCTGAGGAAATACCTTTCAGTGAAACGCTTTTACCAAACTCTCTTCCTTCCAAATATCCCTTAAGAAATGCCCTTCCATACATTTCCTAATGTCACAGCCTAAATCTCTCACTCCCAATATCTTCCTACATCCACATCTTCTTTTTCATGGCAGACTTCTTCATTCTCAATATAAATTTAAGGGTTATGATCTTGCTGCTGTCTTGATAATGATCCTGCAAGTGCTGGAGGGCATTCATATGACTAGTAAGGGGTTCAGAAGCAGCACACACCACTAATGTCAATAGCATATGCCCGAGTGATTCCTCACAAATAGGGACTGTAGACTTAAGACACTATTCTGATGATAATAAACAAAACTATTTAGAAATAGTCTTTATAATCCCTTTAGTATTTTCACAGTTTTCATAAGCAGAAAATATTCTGAGGCAGCAACTAAATTCTGAGCGATCTACAGAGGATACTATTCTTATTTTCCTGTAAAAATCATTGAAGTCCATTTTAATGCATTTTCCCATCCCCTGAAAAGGTGAGATATTACATAAGCTTCATTACAAACTAGATGTAAAACCAAAGCAGCATGTATATCACAATACTCACCTAATTTTCATTTGAGCATGTGGTGGCTTCTTCAGTACATCAGCCATCAGCATTTTTTAAATTTCTTTATCAGGCTTACTGGAAAAAGCTGGTTTTGCCACAGGTGATTACAAGATACTTACCCAGTCGTGTAAGGTATATTTATTCCCCCTAGATTAATGCTTTCACATCCAACAATGAAAAGAGTTGAAAAGCACAGCAGAGATACACCACTGCAGATCATAGCCAACTTTGCAGACTCTCTTGCACCAAGTTTCAGTTTTTTTATAATGTAGCCGCCTAGGACGATACCAACACCAGCACTTGGGACAATAATCACACCTGCCAGGAAGAAATGCAAACAACATTAAAACAGGACCTATGGAAATTGTATAAAACATAAATATTGGTTTCATTCCCTAATGAGATGACTGCAAATGCTGCACTAAGATCTCCATTGTCTGATTCTCTGCTGGCAAACTGAGTCAGAATTTTCAAACCTCTGGAGTGTTGTCAAAGAATTAATAAAAGCCTCCTTATGATATTACCAGCAGCCAAAGCACTATAAGAGAACTATTGTACTTACAGCAGAAACATTGCTTTGTATTTATTTTAGAATGAGGAGAAGGGCAATGTATTTCTTCAGTTTAACTACTGAAAATTCAAAGAAATCCAGATTTGGACACAAATTTTCCTCTTCCTACTCTCATGATTAATTCCAGTGAAGCACAAATGCTAACCTCAGGAAGGACCCCAGAAGCCTGCTCACCTGGGAGTGCACACGTGAGCCTGGCTGCAATTTCTACCTTCTGGATACTTTACTCAAGCTGAATAGCACTTCCCTACATCAGCACCCTGATTCAGCTCAGCACAGTCATGTGGAGCAAACAATCAAACATGAATAAAGAAATTAAGATACTAGAATTAGTATTAGGGTAAATTTAAGACACAAAAGACATGCCTATGAAATTTCTGTTGCTCTGCTGTTGCAGTTAAAAGGTATCAGCTCATCCTCACAGCACCGGGCTGTCCTCGCTTGTCAGGACCTGAGGTGATGTTAAGCCAACAAATGTCTTGCACTTCATTACTTCCCTTGGCTTTTGCTTCTCACTGACATGTGAGAAGGTCTTTACATTAGGTCTTTGCTAATAAAGATGCATTCCTCATAAATATGGAATTTGAACAACTTTTGGCAGCTGTATCTACAGAGAAGGAGCTAAACTTTATAATACAAAATCTTAAAGATGTTGGTCGTCTTTTTAAAGAAGCCTGTAAGACTATCACCTGCAAATATCTTTAATATTATTGCAAATCATTCTCATTCCCTGCTTATTTGTCTAAAGGTGAACAGGACATTATATTTATCAAAATGTTGAGATCGTGAAAGTAAAAGGAAGAGCTAAAAATAGTTGCTGCCTTAATTAGACTGCTATCATCAACAGAATTATAAAACAAAATGTCATTTCATGAGGAAGATTTTTAATAATAACCCTTCACAGAATCAAAACCAGTCTTTCTGCTAAGAGCAGAAATTAAATGTGTAAGTCCTTCTAAGAGAATTAAATGATTTTCATAAAGCTCAAAGCTGTTATCTCTCTCGAGCTGTTAGAGCTCTCATTTCAATGACTGAATATGAATGAAGGAAAGAAATAATGCAAATCCTTTCACTCGCACTGAAAATGATCTCTCTGGGTAAAAACAGTAACTCAGCCATCTGAGCCAACCAGGCATACCCTGCTTTACAAAATCTATGTCAGAGAAGCCCAAAACCACACTGAAGGCAGACTGGGATCACTTGCAGTGCCTTCTAAAACACCCTTGTCAGGTGAACCAAATTCCATGGACCAAATCTGTGGCTACATCAATTATATGAACTAAGGATCTAGCCCAAGGTAAGGGCTTACTGACAAATTAACCTCAGTATTTTACTATTCTTCCTTCCACCATATAGCTTAACTTCAAGTTCTTAACCTCTTTTGGACCTGAATTTACCTCTTCTTTCTTATTCTCTTCAAGGCACAGATACTGGAAAAGCCTTTCAGTAGAACTAAGACTCTGTGTGTCTATGTCTAATACCTTGTCAAAACTGAGCACGTGAACATTTTGCTGAGCATCAGGTTAGTGGTTCTTCCATTAGCAAATTATACTGTGCTGGTGTTTTCATCCATCCTCTGCCACACCGTGAAGACCAGAACATTAAAAATGAGGAGAAGAACATGAGCAAATTGCCTTGCCAAGGCTTGCTCTCAATGAAGAGGATGGAAAGGCAAAGGAAAGAATACACAGAAGAAATATAAAGATAAATACCTCCACGCTGGGGATGGAAAAACTCTGTCTGGGAGAAACTGGAAGGGCAAGAGCAGATTTCACTGTTTGTGCTGAAGGCAGAAGAGAGAAGCACTCAACCCCTTCTACATGTTAGGAAGCCTGACAGGTTCTTTTCTCCTAAGTACAAGCTCTTCATCCTTATGCCCCTCTCCTTCCACAGGGGACATGACATCAGAAGTGATGTACTGTCAAAGAAACACAGCTACTACAGTGCACTTCCATACAAGCTTCCAGGGCAAAGAAAAGCATGTACATCTAATCAGGACATGCATTCTTCTTTTTCAAAGGCATTTAGAGGAGTAAAGCTTAAGATCTGATACTAAGCTGCTGCACTGCATTCTCCTTCATTTTATAATGACAGTTTGGCTTATAGGTATCGTGTGTGTGCTAAATACACTCCAGGGTAAAGTGCTCTGAGGCAATATTGGCTTTCAGTCAGCAATTTCCAAGCTTTGTCCTTTCTGCTGTTGTCAGGATTCTGCGGCACTTGAGGCTTTCCACAGCAGCAAAAGATGATCTTAACAGCTACTAATAGTTTGGGAACAGAAAACTGCAGTATCTGCTAAGCAGGCTACACTTCCAAAGGGAATATCATAAAGATTTTCAAACCAATTCTGTCTGGGATACATGTTATGCCTTTTCTAAAACTAAAGGTAGATCTAATGTTTCTGTAACTTAGAAGAAGTTACTCAAACAGTGCTTTATAATAAACAGTGTGCAGTTCTTCCAATTACAAATTATTTGAAATGTTACTCTTTTTCACAAGTAGATCCACTAGCAAAGCATCCAAAATTTTTACCTGGACTTGTCTAAGATCTACCTGTAAGCTAAAGTCAAAGTTCTTTTATTTTTTTTGACTTATATGGCCTGGAGGCTAAATGCCACCTGCTCTACATGTAGAAAACAAAACTTCAAGCAAGACAAGACTGCAGCACAAGCTGTACGTGTTCAATACATGAAGTTTGGCACGTGGCGTTTTTGCTGATGATTAATGACAGGTTTGTTTAAAAACAGAAAGAAGTTAAAGAATTGCTGCTTATGAATTGAGATGGAAAATGACCAATAAAAACTTTACATCAGTCACATGAACAGATTCATCACGCACATGTACTCAGCTGGCAATGTACATATGAAGTATAGCTGTAATTATATAAATAACACTTAAGTCCTCCTTTTGCTAACCAGAATTTTGTAAATTGGACATGTCTTTTACTAGATTAGCCAGTAGAAATCTAGTACAGAATCTCAAAGTTTCCTTTTCCTATTTTTCCAACAAAAAGAATTTATAAAATCAGTAACAACTGTTGACTTTAATACTAAGTTTAGGAGTTGGGGTTCTGGAACCAGTGCTCATAGCCTGAGATATTTCCTCATCTTCTTCTGTTTCATTATAACAGTCTTTTTCATGTACTTTATAACAGGAAAACAACAGATGTTAATAGATTCACACTCTGAACAGGGTCACATAATTTTTGTTCTTTCTTAATGTACTGGCTGTTGAATATTTTGTCTGGCAAGAATGTTTCTGGGTTATCCTAGGAACAAAACAAGTTACGGAGTGGCAATCCCATCAAGACTTATCACAGTAAAACTCCTAAGCATGTGTAGCTACCCTAAGCTTCAGACAGAATCACGGTCCCATCAATCAACATTTCCTCCTTGTACACAGAACACAGGGATTTCATGCCCTAAAGAAAATCTCATCCCAGCAAGATCTCAATTAGAAGTCACCACATGGTGCTTGTCTGAAGTTTCCCCGCACTGTAGAAAGACTCCTTGTGTTTCTTCCAGCCACTACAGTTGACAAACGATTCCCATGTGAGGTCTCTGCATCTTCTCTCTTTCTTCTGTTACTTTTCCATGACTGATGCCCCTGAGCTTCAGTCCATACTTCAGCCCTGTTCCCACAACTCACTCCCCACACCATCACTCCTTCTCAGGTGCAATATCTGGTAGTATGGGGGAGGGAAGAGCTAACCTGCCCAGAAATCTGCAGCTATTCTACATGGGAAGCACTATGGAGAAGTCAAAAAGATGCTTATAAAGACAAGTGTCTTTGATGCAGTTAGGAAAGAAGGGAGATAATCTGTATGACATGAGCCTCAATTCTGCACAACATTTTGGCCCCTTTCCCTAGGGAAGTTCCCATCTTTCCCTCCTGCAGAGCTGTAAGAAGCTTAAAATTTTGTGGTTTATAGTTCTGTTAGAAGTTAGACTTGGCTGTACGACGCTGCGGCAGCAGGGAAAGTGATATACATGCTAAAAAAGGGTCTCAGACCTGAAATGACAGGTGAGGGAGGATTTGGGGAGCTCTTCTGACCAGACTTGTTGTGCACTCAGTGTTAATAAGTAAATAAGGAGAAAACCACCAGCCTGAAGGGGAGACATAACTGAAGGATGGAACAGAAACTGGGAAACATCACTGGGGAAAAAAGAAAGATGAGGATATTTTAAAGATCAAAGAGGAAGCAAAATTCACAGAAAATAAGAACTTTAAAAAATCTTTTAAGGCGCACAAATTACAGTAATGCCTGTAGGTTTTCTAACTTGGTTTTGTTGCTTTTTTCCCCCTTGAAGACCATTAGCATACCAGGAAAAGTATGTCTAGGCTTATGTAAAAAACCCCAGGCCTGTAACAGTATAAATGGGTTCATATTTTACTAAACACATAGAGCAAACATCAAAAAACAGCCTGAATATCTAACCAAATGCACAAAACTGGATCCAATCACCTGTTCTAACAAGCATGTTTTGGGTTCATTTCCTACACTGATTCATTTCATTTGTCAAAGAACACCAACCCTTGCAAGGTTACACTACGCTACACTTACCAGTGTAGATGCTGGCATTGGAAGCTGGGATGCCAAACTGTGACTCGATGAACTTGGGAATGAAGGTAATAAAAGCTGTGACAATGGCACTCTCAGCTGTGTATGACAAACTCACAAAAAGGAATGTCATGTTGCTTAAGATCCTGACAGCTGCTCTTGGAAGCTCTATAAAATGACAAAAATGACAAACGAATGTTACAAATAATAAGCGAGAAACAAAAGCAAACTGAAACAAAACAAATTTATTTTCTTTGAGATGGACTGGCAATAATGGCTTGCTGCATCTGGCTACATTTGCTAAGCAGAAGGGGGAGTGCATTTTTGGGATTGCAGTCTTTGCTGTCTGCTCTTACCCTATCTCACTGCATTGCCCCGGGGCTGCAGTCCCACTTTTCACAAACACAACTGAGGTCAGTTTTCACAAAACCATCTGAAGAAACAGGCTCTACAAAGTAACTCTATAAAGGAAAGAAAAACAGCTACACAATGTAGTGATTTTGGAATTATTCTGATGTATTATTTTGAAATTTTCCATAAGATAACACATATCACACTGCTGAACCAACAGTACTGAGTTTTGCACCCCATAGGAGGAAAACAGATCACATACTCCCCCTGTAACTCTCTGCTTCAAGGACAACACTTGGAAAGCTGGGATAATACTATAATTTGGAAAGGAAACCAAAAGATTTTTAATTAAACATTTTTCTATATAATTTGAATCTATTTACAATAGATGCAGACAAAGCATACTGAAAAAATTATGTCAATGATATCAACGAATCTCAACATACTTCAGATACAACTCAATATTCTCAGAAGGGATAAAACAATCAATTAAAAATGAGAACACATCATTAACTTAAATTGAAAAAGCATTCATAGATGTTGCAAGTATCCTCAGATCAAACATCAAAAGCCCATGAAATTCAGCACTGTAGTTAAAAGAAACATTTAAATACTTTTAATTCAAACCTGTAGTGACGTCAAATTATCGTTACAAGATGATAATAACTCCATTCAAGACTTAATTTTTTCCAGATTATGTGGCATGATTTTAAACTTTTTTTTTTTCCTTGGGGCTTCTACTGAGATCAGATCTTCTGTTCAAGTATTATATCTAACCTACTATGGTCTGGACTTTTTCATTTGCTTTTCACTTCATACAGAAATTGAATGCTGCTTGAATCAAAGCCCATCGAATTCAATGACAAGAGCACAACATGTTGAGTAAGAACTCCTGGGTAAAAATTTTATTGATGTTAAAGGTTGTCAAATCAAAAATCTGTCTCACTTTCTCCACTGACTCCAGTATGTTATCTGTATAAAAGCAAACAGAATTTAGACTCTTGTCATGTCAAAACTTGTCAGGCTGCAAATTAGCACCTAAGTTGTCTGACTGCATCCACTCTTAGCTTATGCCAGTCATCAAAATTTATATGGAATTTATTATGAGTACAGGGTTTATAATTTTAATGTAGTCAAATGATTTCTTGCTGCCTCTATGAAAAAAACATATTAAATGTTAAATACAAAATTTGGTGGAAATAAGTAATAAATAAATCATATTAAGAAGCACTCATATGTTTGAATCAATGTTTTCTACCACCTACAGGTTGTTGGGGTTTTTTTAAATCGATGTGGCACTGTTTAAAATAGAAGGACAGAAAGAAAGAAGATAACAGGAGTATGAGACAATAGAATATCAACATGAATATATGGAAACTGTAATGCAACTGTACACCTTCAGAAACTACATTACAGTAGCAAGTACATTTCAAAGATGAAATAACATCAGTATTTTTTGGCAAATATGCTGCATGTTTAAAATACAGCTGATCAAAATTTATCTCGTTCAAAAAGAAATTCAAGAGAGAAAAAATGAAAGACCTACAATACAATCAGATGTCAGCCTTCAAAACTCATCAGCTTTGGATTTGTGTCTATTTTTGGGTTGGCTTGTCTTGGGTTCACTGATGGGGGATTAAGATGCAAAGAGAAACTAAAGGGCAAGAGCCAAGATTCTCGAACCCAGCTTTTGCATCATATGCAGTTTATGAAAATGGCTGCCATAAAGCTGCAGCCAGGCAGCTATAGCAGGATTTTCCTGGGAACAAGGTACAGGATTGAGTGTTTCTCCCCCTGCAACAGGACCAAGTGGTTAGGACTGTGCTGCTGCAGCTGTGTGAAAGGAGTTGTGAAACAGAAAGAGGGGGTGCCAGGATTGGTCCTCCTGGAAACTGAGCTATCTGGTGACAGCTGCTCACCTGTGCTGAAAACATGTGGAGGAAAATAATAAGATATTCAGAAGACTGGACATCACAGAGAAAAATATCATTTTCTCAGGTTGATGAACTAAGTCCTCTGTAGAAATGAACTGGAAGTAACTTGGCCAAGAGTTGAGTCCAAGATCTTTGCATTATTTTAAAGGGCCTGGTCCAAATATCATAAAACCTGGTAAAACTGAGCTTCAGGAAAATGTCTGATTCAGAATTTTCGATCTAAAGATACTGAAGAACTAATTAAGTGAAGGACTAATTAGGTAAAGAACTGCAGAGCTAATGAACATTTTGCTCTGGTGTTCAGATATAGAGCTGTACTTTCTATTGACTCCTACTTGCATCTCATCTGAACACTCAGTCTAAAGGTCATTATTAATTTCAAAACTAATTAGTATTCTGAAATTGGATTTCTACTGATAAACAGATAAAACTCAGTGTCTTCGGATAAGCACAAGTTCTCTTACACCCATGTGAAGGATTCTTCAGAAAACAGCTCTGCTGATTACTGTAATTTTTGGCATGAAATAAACCAGATTATTCCTGCGTGCTGCACTAATACATACCACCTGGAGCAGTTGAGTGTTGAAGCTCTTTGTGATTTCTAAAGAGCAACTGTCTGATACACAAGTTAAAGTTGCTATATAGTAAGAAATTCGCAAATAAAAATACCTATTCAGAATTAGTTTTTCCCTGATTTCCTCCTATGATAATAGTCAAATCCTGCGTGACAAGAATCTGTATCATACTTCTGAATTTGAAAACCTGTAGTAAAAAGGCACTATAAATATCTTATGTCTTTCAATCATAGTAATTCTAGTAAAAAGCAAGAATGCATAAAACTTTAAACTTTATGTACTACATAATCAATCATGCATTTAAAACATTTCAATGTCATAATATTTTTGTGTGACTAGCCATAGGCCTAGGCTTTGATTTCAAGGTCATTGTTAAACCTGTCAGGTTCTGAATTTTGAGATGTCTTCAAAAACATCTCTTGTTTTTGCAAGTGAGCATCAGAAACAAACCTATGAGAACTTGCTGTTTCCTAAATTCTGTCATATACTTCTCTATTGATTACATTCCTAAAACTTCTTTCCTTAGTATCTTCCTTTTTTTATTTTTTAATAACTTAATATGTAACTAAGAGTAAATTGAAATCTGCCTTGCTGGACTGGTTTGCCAGTCTACTGGCAATTTTCTTCCCTTCATGGTCTTTGACAATATTTTTTCCCCAGTCAGTATTTGTTTTCTTTCACTGGTGTGCTGGACCACTGCTTGATTCATGGTAAGGGAAAAGGTAAGAAAAATCTGCAAGCAATACAAATATTTGTAAATACTGCTCTAAGCAAAACTCTTAAAGCTCTATAGACAATTTCAATAAAAACCCAAATAATTATGACTTAATACCTGTTGCTGTGCATCTAGCCTAAGGGGAACTAGGGGAATGAACCATCCCAGTCTACAGCACTGTCCTCTTGTATTCCATCAGCTGGGAGGAATGACGTAGATATTAGCTGAAGGACCTCCTCTCTGCTGGTGCTCTAAGCCTGGACAGCTCTATTCAAGTCTGCAGCTTTGAAGGACACTGTCTCCACACTGAGGTCTCAGGGGCAGCTTCTGCTCTCATGAAGTACAAAGCAGAGCCATGATTTGAGAATTTCTGATTTGTTTATCAGAATGGAAATGAGCATTTTCAGTCAAACACAACTACTTCAAATATATCTTGCATGAAGCTAACGACTAAATTCTAGAATAATATTTTGCCATGTATTTCATTTCATTATCTACTCACATATCATTTAAACAACTTCATTCAGCTTGATTCCTCAAGCATTTTCAGGACATGCCTTAAGTACCTGGGTGTTGGTCAGACTGTTGAACAGCCCCTAATATTCCATCAGGAGTAGGGAGGTTCAGAGTGAGTTTGATTTGATTATTACTTTTGTTAATTTGATTTAGAGCGGGTCCTCGAGGCTCCAGCTAACACTACTCATCACTGCATGGGGCCATGCCAACCTTTTCTATTTTGAGCTCTTCAGGATGGCCTAAGAAAGGGTGAGGGGGGGAGCGACTCGCTCAAGGTCAGTGGCACAGCAGGATCTCCAGCCCACAGTCTGCTGAACTGTGACATTTACAGCGCTCACCGAGCGCCCCCACACACAGACCACTGTCTCCACCTCCTCTTCTGATCTCTGCCAACTAATCTTTGGGTACTGCAGAAACTCCAATCCAGACCCTTAGGAAAGCGCTGCAGTGGGCTTACGCTACAGCCACAAGCCCCTCGGGAGCTTCTTTTACCTTTGCTGATGCCCTGACAGGCATTATTATCCTGTTTCCATCCCTGGCAGGAACGGACTGTGAAGGGCATACAACACCTGACAGATATGAAAAGGCAGACAGGAATATTCCACATTTAAGAAAGGGCTGTACACAGGGACAAAACTCAAAACATTAAAAAAATCTGAAAGACTACAAAATACATGTAATGAATTAATACCCTTCATATTAGATCAGTACATTTAGGTATTATATACATTTGCTTTCTTTACGCTTCCCCTTTATTCAATTGCACAGTTTCATTATAGTGGTAAGAGGGACTGCAGATACAATTACCATGGTACAAAACCCTCAGGGTACCAAAGTAATAAATGAAAACAGTGGTTTTGTCTGCTCAGGTTCATGATTTATCTGCAAGTATGGGATTGAACCGTGGCTTCTTCATTATAAATCTCCTCTAGCTCACGTTATCTACACTACCTCTGTTTCTCCCAATAAACTATATGAAATTCTCTTCCTCCTGTGACCTATTTAATGTTTTATTTAATACTTTTTATACCCGCCTCAGAAGCATTTTCCCTCTCACATTTTTTACTTGCAACATAAATAAGAAAAGACTGAATTCCAAGCCCTTGCATCGTGAAACATGAGAAAAAGCAGAGATAACTGTATTTTTATCTGATCTCAGCTCTTTCATGGGCCAAAATAAAGCTCAGGTCACTGAAGCTGAAGGCTGCTTGCAGATGGAGACAGTTTTGGTTTATTTCTTCAGCCCCTACTGGCAGCCATGGCAGGAAAAAAAGACCCGTCCCTCTCCCATCATGCCTTTTCGATTCCTTTTCATTCATCTAGAGAACTAACTTACATGAAACTAAGACAAGTTACAGCAGGGCGAGAATCACTTTGCCGGGCTTCCCAGGTAAGACAACATCTTACCAGAACATCAAAACACACAGTTTCTTTCTGAGACTTTCTTTACCAAAGCAGCACAGATTTTACAGATTTAAAGGCACTGACCTCTGGCATAGTAGACTACGAAATCACTGATATTTATTAGTACATAACAGAAGATGTGACCTACTAAATCATCAGTCTCATGACTACTGCCTAAGTGGAGTTTCTGCCCATGGTGCTATAAAAAGATGAAGTCTTGAAATTCAATGGGAAGTATAAAATGTACATTGCCTCTCAGAAGAAGCAATGCTAAATGACTTAGACACATGCAATCCTTTTTTCCTTCCCATTATAAACAAAATTACCTCAACTGAGAAGCTTGAGGCATGATCTCATTCCATAAAGCCCACTTAAACTTGAAAAATAATTAAATGATAGTGCATTCCTGCTGCAGGCCCTCTTTGCTAGGGTAAATGACACCTAATGGGAAAGCTATTATCAGCTTAGAGCAAAATACTTTTCTCTGTGTTATCTTGACTTGCTTGGTATCTTTCTGACATGTGGAATACAATGCTGCTTTTCACTGTTCGATGTGGTGAAGTTTCTCCCCTAGAGAAAATGAAAAGTTTTGTATATGAAAAGCTCTAATTTGGTAGCTCCATGAATATTTTAATATAAGATTTTGTAGAAGGTACGGTACACATTTAGGCAGATACATATCAAAGCAACACATGTTAAAATGAGATATACAGAAGTTTTCATTTCTGGGAAAAAACGTACTAGGAAATGCTCTCCTAAGAGAGTACTTGTTTGCTGTGTATCTGCTGTGCCTGTAGTGACACAACATGACCTGGAAGGTGAAATCATGTACAGAAACAGAGAACCAATATCAGCAAACTCATCCAAACGCAGAATTTGTCTGAACACCTCTATCTTTTCCAGGCACACCTAAAGGATGAACCAGTCCTTCTGTTGTGGCACTGCCTGCAATGATTAGGAAGGAGCCCAGAAAAGACTGAACTCCCCTTTTCCACTTCCCTAAGTTAGTGAAAAAACCTTGACAGGAATAGCCCAGAACTACTTTTACTAATCAAAGGCCAGTAGGCTCGAAAGCCAAAAATACCCCACACCTAGTTTTATGGATTTAGGAGAAATCATGTATGGGGACCCACAAATATGGGGAATAGAGTCTTCAAAGAAGGAAGCTAGCATGCTTTTCTTGTTTCTCCACTGCTTTTTTACCTACTTTGCAAACAAAGGGAGAACATGGTTCTGAAAGATCTGATGGTGCAGGTTTGCCTTGCTTGCTCTGTGCCTTGATTAAGATGCTGGTTTGTAAGCTAGTAAAATCACCATAAGCAAACTCTGGTCTCCTGTTTTTTTCTTTACTTCCACAGAAATTAACAGTAACTTTAGGTACTCTGAGACTATAGGTGCAAATGCAGTGTAGAGCAAATCAATATGCACGTGTGCAAACACTACTTAGAATTACACTGGTTTTGCTAAGCCTTGCCTACTCAATATAAAGAGTGATCAAAAATATATCATTAAAAAATCTGCCAGTCATTATATCCTGGACTGATACCCAATGAAAAAGTAACATTAATGTTCATGTCAACAAACACTTAAAGTTTTGAGTTCAAATTACATCTAATGGTACGAATGACATTTCATGGCTTCCCCTAGTCCCATTGCATTCGTTAGGCTATCACAAAATGGAACAACCAGCATTCATATCATGAAATCCAAGGACACAACAGCATTAAGACACATTCATTCTTGTCCTACACTATTCAACATTATGACACTGTTAAGCCTATACTGTCAACTCCAAATGTATATGCTTCACACAAATTATTTTTTACCACTGTCCTCTCCACAGCATTTTATCAATGACTACTACTTACTGTAAAATTTCACATTAACAATTTACTTTTTAAATAAAATAAAAATCTCTACCCCTTGTCAATCTTTTGATCCTTTAGTTTCAAAATTACCACAGGTTTAATTTGTCCTAGTCTTCTGAAGATAAATAGCTTGCAGTATAAAACAGTCAGGAAAGGCATATGAAACAACTAAGCTTTCTCAATTAACTTACCTAAACGCATGAATGCAATTGAACTAACATACTAGAATTTTTTTTACTTGTTTCACTTGTAATTTTTTTAGAACAGTACTTCATTCTATGAAGGACATCTTAAAGCAAGTATGACAGTTCTAAACTGTAAGGTATACAAATATATCTGGTAATAGAGGTCCTATAACGATAGGAAACAGGCTACCTGGTTTTTACAGGTGCACATTAAACACTTCAATAATTTAAGTAAATGGATGTCTTACACTCATCACTGCATTTTGTAATTATAGAGGACAATCATCTATTAAAATCTCAATAGCAGAATGTAATATTTAGATACAGGATGTCAAAACTCTGCCTTCAATTACACTCACATGATCCTAGATGACCCTGTATACAAAATCTAAATCACTTAAAAATTAAAAACAAACTTCACCTTTAACATTCTTTCCAAATCCCATAGAGGCAGGAACTGCACTGTCTGCTTGTATTTTGCTATTTGTTTTCTCTTTCTTTACTTCATCATCACTTGAAACATCGTCAGAGTTCATCTTCTTTTTCTTTTTCTTTTTTTTATGTCGAGGAGGGAGCTTTTTCGGGAAGGTAAACATGGGAAATATCACAAGGAGCATTGCAATGGCACAAAGGAGAAATCCACTCCACCTAATGCCAGGAGACAAGAACAGAAATGAAAGTCAATACATTACATGAACTAAAAAATCCAAGTGATTATTACAGGCTGTACTGGCTGGACATATATTTTGAAAAATATGGAACATTGACATTAAGAGTAAAGGACTGGAGTGGGGGAGAGCCTTCACTGCACTAATACACTTAATTAGAAAATGTTTCTGTTGGCTTGTATACTGATAAAGTCATTTATCCAGAACCCATCAAATATTATGAAATAGTGTCAGCTTTAAGTTCCCGTAAAATTTCACTTTTGATAATTATTCCGTACCAAGTGCTAAGAAGTAGATACTCACTTTTACTTTGCCTTTCTTGCATAACTCCCAGTAAAGCAATATGGTATTCCTCTGGAGAACATGAAAAAAATTATCCACAGCACAAGAAGATATAATGTCCAGATGGATACATCAGGGCTAAATCTGCTGGTTTCCAGTGCCTACCTCTCACTGTCCTGACTGTCCAATTCTCTCCCCTCCCAAAGAAGAGCTCCTAAAGCCTGATTGCAAATAACTGACGTGTTGCAGTTCATGCCAGGGTTTATGTCTAAAACTTTCCAGTTCTGTTCTGTGACCACAACCTGAAATATCCCTTCACAGAGAATTTTCTCTTCTCTCCCTGTGTCTTATATGAACAGGATATAAACAACCCTGCAATGATCCCTTGGCTCACACGGAATGACTTGGGACATACCCACACAGAAGGCAATGTATGGAATGCCAGAAAAGTGCCCTTCAGACTGCAGGCATACAGTTACCCTCTCTGAGGCCGAGAAACTTAATGAACTTTACCACAGCACCATACATGGGCAAAAGGGCCTTACTAGAAAGTACTGTAGAGTTAACCTTCTGCAGTCAGAAGGCTGATAGTAGAGTATCACATAACATAATTTCTCCTTTAAGTTCATCTCGTAGTGACAGACTCCCAGGAATCATGGATAAACTCACACTGATGCTGCCATAAAAAAGGATGACCTCAGAATTCACCCAAAGACTTCTTCTCATGTCCTGAAAGTACAATTCTCACTATATACTAATGTAATTGTATTGGGTTTATGTAGTAAGGTTTTGGTAGGGGGGTCGGGGCTGCAGGGGTGCTTCTGTGAGATGACACCATGAGCTGCCTCCATGTCGGACAGAGCCAGCTCCAGACAGCTACAAACCAGACCCACTACTGCCCATCAGTGATGCTGGTGGCACCTCTGTGGTAACTTATTTAAGAAAGGGTAAAAAACGCTCCACAGCAGCTGTGTGAGGGGAGTGAGAAAATGTGGGATAAACAGCCCTGCAGACACAAAGACGAAGAGAAGAAGGAAGGGGAAGTAGTACTCCAGGCACTGCAGCAGAAAGTCCCCTGCAGACCCCGGACAAGATGATGTAATGCAGGTTGTTCTCCTGCAGCCCATGGATGTCCACGTTAAAGCAGAGATCCACCTGCAGCCTGTGGTGAACCCACGCTGGAGCAGGCTCCTGGCAGGACCTGTGACCCATAGGGGACCCACGCTGGAGCAGTCTGATCCTGAAGGACTGCACCCTGTGGAAAGGACCCATGCTGGAGCAGTTAATGAAAGACTGTCTCCCATGGGAAAGACCCCACACTGAAGCAGGGGAAGAGTACGAGGAGGAAGGAGCAGCAGAGGCAAAGTGTATTGAACTGCCCAGAACTCCCACTCCTTGTCTCCCTGAACCACTTGGGAGGAGGAGGTAGAACAGTTGGGAGTGAAGTTGAGCCTTGGAAGAAGGGAGGGGTGGGTGGAAAGTGTTTGTAGTTTTGTTTTTAATACTTAACTATCCTACTCTGTATTAACTGACAATAAATCAAATTAATTTCCCTAAGTCAAGTCTGTTTTGCCCATGATGGTAATTGGTGAGTTCTCCCTGTCCTTGTCTCGACCCACAAGCTTTTTGTCATATTTTCTCTTGCTGTTGAGGTGAGGCAGGAGGGAGTCAAAGAGCAGTTGGGTGGGCAACTGGCAGCCAGCCAAGGTCAACACGCACACCCACCCCACAACCTACACCAGTGTTTCGAAGTTTCACTGAAATCATTCACGTTACTGCAATATCAAACCATGACAATGGAAAATGGAAGCTCTTTGCCTTCAAATCACAGCTTACAGAACAATCTTTTTGTACATCCTTTACACTTAAAAAAGGAAGCTACAACAGGAACATACTAATTACATATTTGTTCAAATTTTAAAGATTTAAAAGTATTGAGTAGACAGGATTACCTGCACAAGAAACAAAACCATTTTAATTCATATTGTAATGCCAAGACATTGCAAATTACATTTTTTAATGAAGAAAAATTCATATGCATGTATAATGGTTTGTGTGGTAAATGGTTATGCAAAGGCAAACACCAAACAAACAGCCATGAGTAACACCTTTTTTGTTAGAAAGATTATGTGTGAAGCTTTTCTGAGGCACATCTAAGTGACTGAAAGTCTTAACTAGTTTTGATATTATGTAAACAGAAAATCCTCTATTCATTCATTTTAGCTGATAACATACATGGATTAGAAACCAGACTTTTAGGAGGATTAGTCAGCACTATCAGTCAGGGAATAAATCAGTTGACTGTATAAAAATGTAGTAACATTCCGTTCAGGATCTCAAAGGCAGAAGCTGAAGAGGTACTGATCAAAGAAACAATCTGTGGTAATAACAGGCAGAAACCTGAAACCATCCACTCAGCGGGAAACAGTAAAGGAGACAGTGCCTGTGATACAGCGTGAGATGAAATTCAAATCCAAAGGGACCATTATGACAGCATACTGAGTGCTGGAAATGTCACAAATTCAGCACTGGATGCAATATCAGCAACATCTACACCACATTTTCCTGCAGAAATATCAAAGAACTAGGAAACAGACAAAAGGGGATATCAAAAATAATAAAAATGCCTACAATGGGAAATGAGAGGTCAGAACAGGATCTGTATTAATTTAAAAGCCCTTGATTTTTTGTCTTCTAATGTCAAAGAAAATATGCAGGACAATACCTCAAAGGCATCTGCACAAGCCTTAGGACCTCAAATAAAAGCAATTAAAGCCACGGAAGGACCAGACAGTGCTGGAGCAATTCCTTTAAACTTCTTGTGTGGAATGCCGATGAAAGACTATATGGGAAGATCCAAGTATTAAACAGATTCAGAACTAGGCAATCACTCAGAAAAGTGTCAGCAAAAGAAAATTTTATTCAAAGCACCTGACAGACTGCCAAGGGCTACTCCACAACTAATGAGATCCTATGGCACATTAACAGTTCTCAAAGACATCAACATGATGGATGATTTCTAACAGATACCTACAGTTACCACATTTGAATAAAAAGCAGTTCTAAACATTTGACAGGCTGGCATAAAGAGCTGGCCTGTAATTTAGCCCAGAGCATCTACAGAAAGCCCGGGTGTCCAAAACTCAGGAGCACAAACCCAAGTTCTATGAAACTCAAGGAAGAATCTGATCAGAAATAACCCTGAGAAATAACCACTTAGTTTGTTTATCAGGTTTCACAAGAGATAAACCAAGTTACCTGTCCTGCATATATGTAATATACTTCTTAGAATGGAACACCTTAAGCAAAAAATAGGCTTTACTGCAATTTTTGTTGCCATATATCATAGTTCTTGTACTTACTATTTTGTCTGTAATCATTACTTCCCTTAATAATGGATTTTTTTCACAGAGTCCCTGCAATGTTAGAAACCTTACAGCTATAATAAAGGAAAGATGGGAATCAAAGACACTAATTCACTTCAAAGGAGACAAGGCTGAGAAAACTCAAATATGTCTGCCTATTAACTTATCTCAGCTGCACCTTACTTTTAAAAAGCGTGTCAGCTGAATTAAGTGCTAGACTACTCTTATATTTCAAATTGTTAGATTACATAAAAAAACTTGGCTATGCAGCACTTCCCTGCAAGGAGAAAATGTCATGGTCCCAGAAAATAGATTTCATTAGAATGCAAGTCTACACTTCCCGAGCTCTCTGCATCTGAGCAGTCAGTGAGTAGCAAGGGACAAAGGACCACTCCTCACAGCACGAGTTTTCATTTTAATGGAAAGATAAAGCTTCGGGAAGAGAAATGAGAATAAGGTGCAGATTCTATGAAAACCTCAAAACTTTTATGAGAGACCATCACAGATTGTGAAACAAATTATCAGAGATCGGATAGCAGGGAATTTTCTCTTTAGAAATTAAAGAGAGAAGAAATTGAGAGAGTCAAAAATTAGAGTAATACAAGAACCAGGAACATCCTTCAAGGAAAGCCAGACTCTACAGATTTAATCAGCATGATGGAATAAGGAAACTTTGAATGACTTCTACTTTTCTATGTTGGCTAGAATACGACTCGCCTTCTGAGATCCTGTGACAGCTTATTTCCTGCCCTTGGCTTCGATCAGATTTGCACCACCTCTGCTGGCACCCCCGTGCAAAGTTGAAATCACCAAGATACTCATTCAGGTGACATTAAACCTTGAAGAAACATAAAATCTATTTATCAATTTGACATAAAATCTGAATGCACAAACAAGGCTCTTTTCCCTATTTTGCTTGTAATGTCTGGTACAGTAGATGTTCTTAAAGCCTACCCACAGAAACAGTTGTAATAAGTGACTTCTCACCACTTCTGCCATGGAGCTCTGTGGTTACAGCATTCTGCTGGTACTGGGCATCCATCCCTGTCACTCACTCTTTTGAGAGAGGGTAGATAAACTTGTTATTCATGAGCAAGAACACACTTTTTTTGTCCAATCTCTTACGCATTTGGCTATGAAAACGTTGCATATATATCCAAGCTAGCTTTAAAGGAGCTGTAGTGAATGTCCATCGGCTGCGACACAGAGCCTGATGCAAATGGTCCAAGAAGCAGTAAATTCATGTCTCTGATGCTTTGGTTATTTTACCTTCACCAGAGCTGTTCAAGCTAAAATTCACACACATATGCCCCCATGATAAGACAGTTTTATCAGTGGTTGCATTGTAGATAAAGTCAAAAGCTTACCCCACATTCGTATAGGTCCACTGATTTCAATTAACAAATATATTTATGGGCCTGTTCATGATTTCTGTTTAAAAGTAATGATCAGATGCTGATTACCAGTTCTGACATGTCCTTAATAACACATGAAACATAAGAATTTTATGAAGAACGTATAATATTTTGCTTTGATTTCAAATCTTTTATTCAAGGATAGTCAAAGCCTGGTTTTGACACTGTAGCACATTCACAGGAGTAATCTTTTCTGTGAATACATATGAGAGTACAGAGTTGTTAACCTCAAGGTCACAGGTTAACTGAGCACTCAGGTTTGCCTTTCTCTCTCTGAAAATTTGGCTAGAGAGTCCTGTACAGCAATGCTCTCGGACTAAGTAAGACAAATAAAGCAGGACAAAATCTTCAAAATTTTAAGAACACTCCAAAGAGATAATTTTTCACATCAAATGAGAGATCACAGCCGGACAAATAGAAATGGATACAGTCTGACTACGATAGTGCAGTGATAAACACTAACCCAGTGCACAAGAACTGACACTGCACCCTACACCTACAAAGTAGAGGTCTCCTCCTGGAATAATGAACTTAAGCCTTTTCTAGACTTGCACAAAAATTTCAAGGCAGATTTATGAATTATCTGAGAAAAGCTAGGTCTCCTCAAGACCTGCTTCCTCAAAGAGGTATTTTCCAAGGAGGCCCAAAAAACTGCCCAAAGAAACCAGCTAACAATTATGGCCATTACATCTCAGCACCATTGGAAGCCTACTATTAACTAGAGAATAATGTGATGTTTTTCATCATCTGCAGCCTAAACATGAGCCATCACCCTGAGAAACAAGACTGGAAAGGCCATGTTCTGACCCCATTCTATCTCCTCCTGGACCAGGGTAAATGAAGTCTGCCATTTCTCACCTGGGCAGCAGAGCTCAGTGTTTTGTGCTGCCTGCTTTGGAAAACCAAAGAAGGGATTAACCCACCTTTCAGCAGGAAGGGCTCAGCCCTGGGCACCAGCGATTCTTTATGGCCTCCTGCAACACAGCTATTCTATCCTGCCACCCCTGTACTGAATCCTGTCAGTCAGCACCTACAGCACTCAGAGCCAGTCCTGGAGCAGCCAAAACCAGGAGGTTTTCCACACAACGTGCCCATGCGCTTCTGTGAAAGTGTCCCCTCTCTGTCAGAGGCTAGTGTGTAGTACTCAACAGAAACCTCCTCTTCCTTGGTCTCCTTCTACAAACTTAAAGTAGCCCTCAAGGGATGTGATGGCCCAACCTGTCTCATTTCCCTACCAGCAATTCAGAGAGTAGTTTTGAAAAATGGTTGACCCTTACCAGTTTCCAATGAATCGGGGATCACTCTGGTCAATATAAACAGTTGTCCTAGGATCAACATAGAAACCAATAAGAAGTCCTCCTAGTAAGTATCCAGCTGCAGGACCAAGTGCTCCCATTACGTACATGATAGCTGAGGAAATAAAAGTTCACAATCGTAGATCAATAAAATAATGTTTTGATAGTTATTTAGATACAAAATCCAAAAGTAAAAGATGCCTCTTAAAGCAGGGAGTTTCATACCCCAAAACTTTCAGAGGCCTTTTTTTGTAATCTTCAAAGGCAGCAACTTCTACATAAGTACCATTGATAAGAAAATTACTGCTTTCTGTATTTTTCAGTCAAATCATGTATGGAAGTATATATTACTCAGTATTTTGGATGGAAACCATACTTGACTTTGACAGTATTTTTCATATTTGGTAACATTTCCATTGAATCAAAACAATATTGAATACATAAATAGAAAAAATATAATTAATGGTAAGCAAACAGAAAAGCAAAGGACAAAAATTGTGTAAGATACCAAAGAACAAAGTGCATCATTCCAGCTTAGTTACCATCAGACTAATACTAGATTTAGAAGAACCATAAAAGTTAAGAAACAAAGATACAACTGGACCTGGGACCCAGGAAATCTTTCTGCATGTCCCGGTAGAGGTATAGCTGTAAAACACCAGCAGGAGCAGACAGAACTCAGTTCCTGCTGAGCAGAGGCGAGTTCTGAGATTTAGTAATTTTGGTCTCATTTCCAGGTTTTGAAAGGTGGGTAATTTAAAGGCTGTCATATGTATTGCCTTTAAATCTTACCAATTCCACTCCTTTCCTCTTCTACTTCTGCAAATCCCAAATTGATTTTTGAACTAAGCCAAGGTCAGTTATCACAACTTTATATGACCTTGACCACACCATCAAGACCATAGTCATCTTCCAAAGACTTTTCTCTTATTCCCCTGCTCCATCTCTTTCCCACCTTAATGCATCCTGCAGTACTCATCCCTTCTAGGATGCTTCTGCCCTGCTTCCCATACCACCTAGCTGTAAGCACGACAAGCAAGAGGGGTGGTAAGGGTCTCTGTTATCCACTCACATGCCTGGTACCACCAAAACCCAAGCCCCAGTTGCACACCACCACTTGCTGAAGACCCACTGTGTAACACATGAAAAAGCAACTGATTATCTCATTCTCTGAAAACATCATCTTCACCGCAAAATATCTCTCTCCACGTGGCTTCTGTGGACCAGTCACTCTCTATGGCAGTATGCAGACTCCATCCTTTTTGGTCCCATACTCAATCAGACATGCTGTGTCCTACACTCCAGCAGCTGAGGAAGCATAACTGAGTTGCTAGAGCTTGGGTTTCTGCATTACCAGTTATATAGTAAATTATATCTCACGGACAAAATAAACAAAAATAAATCACTAAATCTGCCTGCTTAAACCTAAATAACTTGTATATTTTCATCTTATGTTCTGAAGGAAGAGAAAGAAGAAAGAGAACATTCTCATGAGTAAAAAGGGATGGCTAACTGAGAGCTATATTGCAGGGGAGAAAAAAAAGTCACACAAGCTACCACAAAAGGTAAACTGCCTATAGTAAAAAATGCTTCCAGAGTACAGATTGATTAAACAGATTTATCACTTTTAAGTTACCCTTTCTTAAACACATTTTCAGTTTTTATGAAACTGTAATTTCAAATAATTAGATTTTGCTGAAGTCCTTTTTGCATAATGGTTTCCAGACTGTGTTCACTATTTAAATTTATTCCAGCCATGTTCCCTTCTGGATTGATTGTAAACAATTCTCTGGATGCCTAAAATGCTCCATCAGACAATGTAACACTACTCCTTAGCAGTAAGTGGTTAGATAAACTCCATAGTAACTATTATTTGCAAAATTCTCATCATGAGGAAGACAAAAAAACCCAAACTCCATCCACTATAATAAATTTTGTTCAATAAATGTTTGCTTGGAAAATTGATTCACACAACTACAGCAAGCACCAGTCTCTAAAAAGTTTACACAGGAAACACAAAGAGAGTAAAAGAGTGACCTAATCCATTCATTTCAGTATTCAGTTTTTCTCCATCAGCAGAAATACTGTAAAGGTAAAAATTTAACACTGGACACTGTGCTCCATTAAAGGAGGGAATGTCAACCATTACAGAAGTATTTTAAAGTTACTGTACGCTGTTCAGGCTTCAAGATTTTTTTTAATATGACTTACAGGAAACGTGTAACTTTCTGGATCTTTCAGAAAACAGAGAGCCCCTACGTGCCTGGTCCAGGGCAGGAGTAAACCTGTGAGCACACAAGTTCCACGATTGCCATTTTAAGACACTATGAAGCATCTTTCTCAGCACCTAGTAATGGCCACTATCAGAAACCAGACACCAAGTGCAATAAACTGATTTGGTCTTCTAAATAGGACTAAAGATAGAGCATGGCAAGTGATAGATTTTGATATTTTAAAATGAGGTACTTGGAACTAATCTAGTCCAAACCTCCAAACCTTGCTGTGGAAGTGAAGGGAGAGCCATCTCCCAGAAGTCACCCTGGCAGGTTGCTCCAGGGTCCCGGATGAGTGAAATTCTGGTCACAGCCCTCACAGCTATGCACCCCAATGTCCAGAATAAAGAGGTTCCGGATTCCCAAACAGGACGTCAAGAGTACTGGATGACATGGACAGGAAACTAAACTGGAAACAGATTCAATTAGGACATCATCAAAACTGAACCCACTTCACATATAAAAAATTCTATGGAGAACTGTTCCAAAATTTTTTCCACTCAGGTCAGTAGAAGGTGTCCAGCTTCTGGATGAAAAAGGTTCTGAAACATAAGGATGACGTGGGAGCACGTTCCTTTCAGCCTCCTACCTGTCATTTCAGTAAGGTCTTCTTGGTCCTCCCTCTTAGTGTCATGATCTGGGATCCCAACCTAGGAAGTTGCACTGATTCAACAGCTGAGAAGTTTCAACGGAATTAACAAACATTTTTATCAGGGGACATGCTGGAGTACTGTGATACAGAAGTAGGCCACACAGTATCCAGATGATTTTTTAAATTGCACTTAAGGAAATCCAGGATTTGCCTTTTACCCTCCTAGCCATAACCTTGACTGGTGCTTAGATTTGCAAGTTGCCTTCAAATTTCTTAAACCATAAAAAACTATACTATAAAATAGCAGTACTATCTTCTTTCCCTTGATAAAACAGAGATGATGTACATTCTACAAGTCATAGCTCTACTCCAAACAATAAATCTTCAAAAGATAAAATGAGGAAACTATTGCTAATATAGATATATGGGCTACAACACTCACCTCTCTCTCTTCTGACTGGTTTTCACTGAAGTTAAAAATTGTACCTCTCAGAGTTACTGTATTAGCCATGCATGTTCAATGCTAGCAAGTCCCTGAGTACATTGCTCTGGAGATGTGGGTCTCTAGGAAAAAGCATCTGCAAGTCACTCACACTCCTAGATGAATTAGAGCCATCTGAGAACTACTCATGAGATTCAACACAAGCAGCTCAGACTGGAAGTTGCAAAAGTCTTTTCCCAGAAGCCTGTTGCAGCTTGCTGCTGCTCTGATGTAGGATCTTAAGTCTTCAAACCAAAGCACAGGTTAGTCTATTAAAATTACATGGCATTTAAACAAGACAATTTCAAAGACCAAAGACCTTGCAGATTCTTTAAAGTTTCCCTTTTCTCTGAAGAACTCAGTGTGGGGCAGAGTTTGCAGTAGCAAACATACCTTTTCCTCTGGGTGCACCTTCCCTTTGGAAACAAGGGATAGCCTTTCCCAGACCTCCCAAATCTGGTCTTTCAGACCATCATTCTACCTCTGACATAGACTAGGTAAGTAAAAATATCCTGGTTCGGACACAGTTAGTTAAGTGTCCATTTGCCCCCATGATATCCAGCCATGGTTATTTTAATTCCTTTTAAGTTTTGTGCCCGAGAAGCTTCTCTGCCTCACCGAATATGCCCTCAGCATGGAATCGGGCACAACACAGCATGGATCTGAGGCACAACATGACACTATGAAGGCTGTCTAGTTTTGAAACTGCAGATGGCTACGGCTAGCCAGGCTTAGCCACCAACGTCCATCACAGCGAAGATGTTGGATGGGAGAGAGAAAGGGAGTCAAAGCAACAGTAATTGAATTACACACGGAATTTACCTACCAAAATGAAGTAAGATTTAAGCAATGTCATTCTTCTCCACTGAAAAGTTTATGCTGGAACATGTTGCAATGAATGCTGTCATTTTGACAACCTTTGACAAAATTATATTGCCTATTGCTTCTATTCACAGGACATTCTTCTTCAACAGAAGAAAGTTTTACATAGAGACTACTGCAGCAAAGACTCTATGACTGCAGTGAGATGGACTGAAACCTCTAGGGGTCCAAAAATGCATGTTCACATCACATGCATGAAATAACTTTGCAGCCAAAGATTTTATTTTTTGTAATCTACCCACACTATAAAAATATACTGAGACAGAAGTCACAGAAATACTTTGAACGTCCTTTTCCTTCTTTAATCACACTAAATAACAACTTCAATACATTTTGCATATGGGAATATGTAACATATGTCCCTATGGCATCCTCAAAAGCATACAATGTTAATGCTCCAACTGTGCCTTTTTATATTAGTAACGCTAGTACCAATTAAAGTCGCAAACATCATACTGTGCCTACATGAACAGAAAGTACACAACATTAGTGGGCTACAACAGGCTGTCTGGCTTCTGGGTTCTAAAAAATCCACTTTGGTTTAAAATGTAAAAACAAAAGCATATATCGCTCAGTCCCTCTCTTCTCCTCTGTGTGCACACATATGTCACCACACAGAATTTATCACTGGATAAGGAAGAACATTTCTGAAAGACCCCATTGTTCAAATCTTGGCAGCACCTCACCATAGTACAACTGTTCACTTCATACATGTGTAAGGCAAGCAGAATTTGACCTTTATTCTATTTTCAATTAAAGTTTAGAATTTGTAAAATCCTGAAAAAGCTACAGTGTGCACTTTGGAGGTTTTACACACACACACACACACACACACACACATATATATTTTTTCCTGTCAGGATAGTATGGCGATTTTAGTAGATTTT